GTTATGTAATGAGTTAATACTGTGTGACTAAAGAAAACATTTTTTTAAAAGAGTAACGATGGAGTTGCTCGTTTTCTTCATTTTAAACTACACTTTGGAACGAGCGCCTAGCTTCACTGATAGACGCTTATGGATCATTCAATTTTTAACGTTTCAAAAGTGCCTAAATAAAGAATAATTTAAAGAAATACTTTAACTTAACTTTAACTTAATATCAACATGTCCTTTTCAAACAACAAAAACTATTTAACTACTATTTTACCTCAATCTTTAATAGCTTGCTAGCTTTTCACGATACCAGTAACATCACAAGCCCCTGAACTAATAAGCGGCGTACAAACGTGTTCCCGCCCAGGGATCGAACTCGTGAACTGTAGGAAGTCAAGTGGATAGGCACAGCGCCAATTAGGTCGGCAATTCATCGTTCATTCTTTCACTATTACAAGCATGAAGGAGTTTGTGTGTCATCTTTTAGTAGACGGTTGAAATCTACTTTTAAAGTTCAGTGTAATTTATATATACTTTGTTATAATTTTAATTCTCAGTAGGTAGGGTAGGCAGAAGTTCACATTACGACGCTTAATACCACCGTACAATGTAACACCTACTTTTAACTATTTATGTTATAAGTCCCATGGCATAGGGGGTGGGCCTATTGCTTTTTACCAGGCGCAGTTCCAGACTCCATGGTACTGCTGAGATTTTTTTTAAAACCCAGTAATACTTTACCCGATCTGTGAATCGAACCCGAGACCCCTTGCCCGGCAATCGCACTTGCACCACTCGGCCAACGAGGCAGTCATGTGAATATGTAATTATAAGGGTACCGAGGATTCAATGATGACTCTCGTGTTACTTAAAATTACATTACATAAGATAATAATATATGATATAGTAACCACATCACATTCACAACCACACACGTATCATATTATAAACCGCAAATGAATTTATAACATTAACACCGTCCGAATAACACAATAAACAAGGCCTCATAAAGCAGACACTTCAGACCACTCGTCCGAAACTGGAAACGAACAAACAACACTGAATATAATTTAAACTATTTGCACCTAAAAACGTTTTCACCCGTTTACAAAATGTCGGCGCGGCAGAGAGGGCGCTTAACAACATTAAGAGTCAACAAACCATTTAAAATGTTATTATTGTGTGCGGCAAACCGTTTTTAAGTTTTGTTTATATGTACTCTGTATTTATCACACCTGTGTTCGTCGAAATTCATGAATAATATCTGTTTTTTCTGGTACGGGATACTAACGTTTTTTTGCAGCCATATGGAACTGGAAAGCCTTTTTAAATGGAGTGATCTTTGAAACATGTTCAATAAACTTTCGTTCATTGTCCTCAAATAATATCTTAAGCCAATTTTGTGTGCATTATGTTTCAGGAATATTCCTAGTATAGGCATATTATTTTAAAAATGTTCTTTAAAGATCTTGTCGCTTAAACTGTCAAACACCAAGCGGTCACCGGTGACCGCAACCTATTGTTCTATAATTGTGTCTGTATTGACGGTACTCGACGAGTTAATTAAGATATTTTTGTACCTATGTTGACCAGTATGATGATATGAATAAAAATATTATTATTATTTAAGCTTAATGAATGTATACAACCTTGTTTAAGCCATGCTATTGAATAAAGCATTCTGTATCATCATCAGCCTGATTGCGTCAACTGGACAAATGCCTCTTTAACTACATACACATGATGAAATTGACTACATGTATTTAAACACATTACTAATAATAAGGATCACCTTTACCTATTGTTTATATATGTGAGTACGATGTAACGACAATAATGTCTATAATATTGTCTATTTTACTGTAATAGTGTAATAGAAGGACTCTGAAGTTGAAGGGTAAATATGGAGGCGGATGGTGAACATCGTGAGGGGTTTTGGTGAGTTAAAAATTGCACACATAGGTATTACTTATTTTTCGTAAAAGCTAAGATCTATACAAGAAGTTTCCTTTCATCACAAAAGGGATATCTTTATGTTAATATAACTAGAGTTAAAATTACAGTGTTTAATAGTTTGTATGTTTGTTTTTTATTCCTTCACGTTAAAACGGCTAAAGAGATCTGGATAAAATATGGAACAGGGGTAGATTACGGTTACGGGATTACGGGTGAAACCGGAGGCAGAAACTAGTTTATCATAAAACTATTATAGTGTCGCGGAGAACCTAACGGATTACTGGGGCTCCCGCTCGAAGCGCAGAAGAAGGAACGGGGTGGTTTTTAGTCAGTAATAGTCTGACACTCCCTCCCGCCTCACCCAGGCGGGAGGAGTCATTCGATAAATTCCCTCCCTTAAAAAAAATATGATAATTAAAAACCTTAAAAAAATACTCAGTATTTGAAAGCTACCTATATTTCTTTTACTCTGAAAACTGAAAAAGCTCGTTTAAAAACTCTAACTAAATGCTTCAGATCCCTGAAAACGCTGAAAAACTGAACGATAAAGAAAAAGAGATGTAAGTCTAAGTAACTACCTGTCTAACTTGCTATATTAAGTAGTAAACTTAGAGTGAACTTACTTATAGCTGTAAAACTCGTAAAACCTCCTGAAATAATTGGTGCATGCAGCTTTTCAGATCTTTGTGTAGTTTTTTTTTATGGCATATGCCGAGTAGTAAACGAGCAGACGGATCACCTGATGGTAAGCAATCGACGTCGCCCATGGACACTTGGAACACCAGAGGCGTTACAATCCTATCTTATACAATGATATGCTAAATGAAGCAACTACTGTCACACAAATTTCGTACGTGTGACTAAACTAAGTTGCCAGAACAACAATACATTATTTTTGCCAACTCGTCACACAGTTGTAGTTGTCCGTCCCAGGGGACAAACCCATGAGTTT